TTTATTCACAATCTAATCCAGCGCTTACCACTCAACCCCTATTTTATCAGCAGTTCCTGTCAATGAAACAAAAACTTTTTTATCTTTGAATGATACTGTTCCTACATAAAACTTGAGATGAAATTATTGATAAATTGAAAAACTTCTTATTTTTTAGGTAATTTTATTGTGAATGTATACAGTACAAAGTCCAAAATCTGGACTCGTCGGGACTTCCGCGATTTCGGATTTTTCTGGATATTAGGTCATCAGTTTAAATCTAGGAAGATGGCATGTAGAAATAATAAAATTAAAAATATGATATCATAATTTATGAAATAATGAAGCATTTATGATCTAAATTTACGAAGGAAAAAAAAGCTGAATATTTATTTGTCTTCTTTATTAAGCATTTCTTGTTTAAGTCGCTTCATTTTTTTGTGCTAATACTTTCTCTTTAATTCTATACAGACATAATTTCTTGTTCAGTTACAAAGTTCCATTTGTTGAAGTCCTGTAATTGCTGTGTCTAGGATTTCGACTAACTTGTCAATCGAAATTTTTCCGTTTTCAGTAACCACTCTGTCACTTTCTTCACTATCGGAAATGGTATTTTCTGGATCTAGAACCATACTACAGATTCTGTTATCCATTAATTGACGATTGAGGAGCATTGTCATCACAATGAAAAACTTCTTTTATATCATCCTCATTTATTACTGCATCTCCACATTTCTTTACAAAATCCGTTAATTAGAAAATTTCACCTTTGGTTTGCGACATTCAAAAGCCTTCAGATTAACGGCTATCAACATAAAATTTAGCTATTTGTTCACTGTACATATTTGGCTGTGTATCATATGATATTGGGGACTAAAGTCAAATTGTTTCGCTAAATTTTATCTAGCTTCTATTGCACACTGAGACAATTTAAGCATGAATTGTATTAGTTTAGTTATTTATTATACTTATGCCTATTCCTTGCACATGCTTAAGGCTTTATGAGGGCAGGCAATAGAAGTCTTACCGCCTGATGCAGTCTCTGTGGGTCCCAAATTCTGCTACTAAGTGCCTAGGGTATTCCCGGTGCGGCCATACGAGATCTGGCGCTGGCTCTTCGTTTATGCGAAAAACAAAGCAGTTATTCTTAATTCAAATAGCACTATATGTATTCTTTTGACCTTTGAGTATCATTAACAAAATCTATTTTTAGCATATGGAAAGATTTTTTAAAAATTTTTTTCCTGTCAACATTTCTTAATGCATTTAACTTAAATCTGTAATCATCGCCAAGCGTAATGTCAACGTAAAAGGGTACCATACTCTTTTTTATTCAATTACTAATAAAAACAATTGTTTAGGCGTGTCGTTACACGAGTCATTACTCAAGTTGTCATGTCTTGATAAACATATGGTGGTGAAAGCAAAATATAATAAATAATGATTTGCCAGGTTGGCGTCAGGGATATAAAATATTAGTAGATGTAAAATCAGAATGTTTCTATGAGGAATGTTTTGATTTGAGATGTATGCCAAGCAGATACGCATGTACAGAGCCAAATTATTGATCATGCAGATTTATGCTAAAAGGATTGTTTCTTCTATAATGAGGTATTTTATTTAATGCCGAAGTAAAATTAAGAATCAGGATTCTCCAGATGTTTTATTATGAGCAGAGAAGGGGTAATGCATGCATTAAGCCTGTGAGAAAAAACGGCTTAAGAAAAGTTTTTTTTCACGACAACTTATTTAAGGATGTTGAACATCTGAGGGGGTCCAATGAAAGCCGTGCTTTCTATCGTGAAATTAATCGTGGCCGCAAAAATTTTAAGCCTAGAACTACTGCCTGTAGAGACAAAAACAACATCATCCTAAATGATAGAAAAGAGGTACTCCACAGGTGGAAGGAGCACTTTAGTAACTTGTTGAATGACCATACGTGGGATGGGTCTTCAATCTACCCAACTACCTCTGTAAACACCGATAGTATCCTGCCACCATATTTGGCAGAAATTAGAGAAGGAATTAAAAAGCTAAAAATAACAAGGTGCCAGGTCCTGACTTGATTACTTCAGAACTTATTAAAAGTGCTGCAGGTCAAAACATTGAGGAAATGCATCACTTCATCGAATCAGTTTGGAACCAAGAAGTTTTACCTGAAGATTGGAAAATGAGCATCATCTGTCTTATACACAAAAAAGAAGACAATTTTGGAATGTACCAACTACAGGGGAATCAGTTTCCTTTGTGTTTTCTATGAACTATTTTCCAATATACTTTTAGACTAGTAACTTATACAGAAAATATTGTAGGTGATTATCAATGTGGTTTCCACAAAGGAAGATCTACAGCAGAACAAATCTTTAACATTAGGCAAATTTTGGAAAAACTAATAAATATGGCATTGCAGTGCACCACCTTTTTGTTGATTTTAAAATTGCCTACGATTCAGTAAATGGAAAATATTTAATGAGAGAATTTGTAATACCTGAAAAACTTATAAATTTGGTCACCATTACTCTTACTGAGACAAAACTTATGGTTAACCCCTTAACTGCCGCGGGCGTATATATACGCGCCTTGCTCAGCCGATGCGTTAACTGCCCCAGGCGTATATATACGTCCTTCCAAACTGCTATCATTTGCTTTGCGCTGCTACACCTAAAATTATTCGCAAAGTTAACGCATCGGCTGCGCATCTGGGGCAGTTAACGCATCGGCTGAGCAAGGCGTATATATACGCCCGTGGCAGTTAAGGGGTTAAAATCCTTAATAATCTTTCTAAGCCCATTGTTGTTTCAAATGGGCTCAGACAGGGTGATGCACTGGCCTGCTTGCTTTTTAACCTTGCCCTCCAAAAAATCATAAAAATACTCCAACATTAATACTCATGGAACTATCTTTAACAAGTCTGTTCAGATTTTTGCGTTTGCTGATGATGTTGACATAGTCGCATGCACTCCCGAGTCACTTAAAGAGGCTTTTACATGTCTAGAAGCTGCAGCCAGCAAAATGCATCTAGCAATCAACCAAAATAAAACTAAATGAATGCCATGTGGTAATAACAGCAGCCCCTATTTTAAATTTGAAACTGTTAACAAATTTAAGTATTTAGGATCAGAAGTTAATACTCTTGATGATTTAATGCCTGAGATCCATAGTAGAGTCACAGATGCTAACCGATGTTTTTTTGGTCTAAAAAAATACTTGAAGTCTAACTTCACTAGCAGAAAAACGAAGATCTTAATTTATAAAACCTTAATCAGACCCATTCTTACATACTCTGCTGAGACCTGGGCAATGACAGTAAAAGCTAAAAGTATCATTTCCGTCTTTGAAAGAAAAATTTTGAGAAGTATTTTTGGTGGCATAAAATGTAAAAGAAGAACTAACTCTGAACTCTATAAATTCTTTAAAGAAATAGATATAGTAAAATATATAAGGATTCAGGGAATTAAATAGCCAAGCCACCTGTGCAGAATGGATGAAAATTGAGTTACTAAAAAGTGTTCTCGGCCAGACCATTGGGCACCCGTAAAAGAGGGAGACCTAAACTTAAGTGGCTCGACTGTTTGGAAACAGACTTAAGAAATTTAAAAATAACCAATTGGATGTCCTTGATCAGGGATAGAAGAGCTTGGAATTCGATTCTGAGGAAGGCATGGGCACATCCTGGGTTGTTTGGCCATTGAAGAAGAAATTAAGAATCGGGACACTCGACATGTCTTATTATGCGTGGGAGGGAATCAAATGCGCATGTGTAAAGCACACACATAAAGTAAATAAATAAATAAGAAAAGGTGGTGGCTTTGAGGTCTGAATTTTGGATGCCCGGATCTTTGAATTTGTACTGTATGTTGCACATAGAGTTGTATGTTACAGTATGGTTTTATATTCTATTGCAAATCATTTTAATTAATTATTCTGTTATGTTTTTACTTTAGCTACTTCATCTTTCTGTAAACTGCTTGTCACTTAGTACTTTACAAACACGAGTGTGAACTTATGAATTACAAATCTGACTTTCTTTTACAACTCTACATGCGTTACTTTATGGCTGTTCATTGTGAAAAAAAGATAATTTTGGATCTTCCTGTAATTTTTTATTGTACAATTCACTTGTAATTATATAGATTACTATAGAGGCCCACCAGCAGCCGAGCGGTAACGTCGCTGAACATTGGTCGTTCAGTCCGAGGTTCGAATCCCGCGAACAGGCTGGCTTCATGGGGGTTTTGGGGGTTTTCCTCATGTGTAACGTGTATACGAGCCAGTTTCCCTTAAAAAGTCCTCTACGAAGGCATCCCTCGCTTCAGGCAGATAACCCTCGAGTGCTTTGCCGTAATCTAGTAAATCAAATAGATTACTGTAGATCTGTAGTTCTCAACTTTTTTTTTGGCCACGTGAACTCCTTTCAAAATAATTAGACAATCATCCTAGCCTTCTTCTAAACTCAATATATGTATATATACAGTTTATCTACATTTAGAGCATTTTTTAAATGTATTTTATAAATTCAACAAAAAACGGTATTGAAAATGTTGATGAATACCAAATTTTGAATAAAAGTAGTTTTTTATATTAAGTAAAACTAAACGCTTAATTGATAAATAAGGACTGCATTTCCCCCCCCCCCCCGAAACTATGAAATTCTTCCCTCGGTAGGGAATTGCTGTCTTTTTTGGAACCCTTCTCTATAAAATACCCCTGTGATTTATCATACTACCAATTACGAATAAATAATCATTAATTATTGAATTTGGTATACCAGTCAGTTCATTATATCAAGCCTATATAGCTTTCTGGTTTTCTGTTTACATGAGTCCCAAAGGTTAAAGGGCAAGATAATTAGTGTTACGAGTACAGTTTTTGAAGAAGTTTAAAACTCATTGGAGCAAATTGTGTAATAAGCTATTCATTTCATGTTTTAAAATGTATTAAAACTGGAAATTTTATTCTTCTCAGTTTTTTATACCAGCACATTTATGCATTAAATTATATATATATATATATTTCTTTAGGAAGATGACACATCTGTTGAACAAGAAGATTATCACGCTGTTATTCTGCAGCGTGGTACTAAAGGCTTTGGTTTTGGTATTTGTGGTGGCAAAGAATTTCACAACATGCCTCTTTTTGTTTTGAGGATTGTAGACAACGGTCCTGCTCAACAAGATGGTAAAATAAAGGTATATGCTATCCAAAGCTTATCAGTTCTGATAGATTCTAATGATGATTTAATTGTGTGATAGTCCAAGTAATGTTATTTAAAAGAATTGTCAAGTTTCAGTAGAAATGCATATTGTTTTAGTAATGTAGATATGCCTTAAAATTTTTATTTTGTTAATGTTTTGCTCTTTAATTATGAATTATAATGTATCTAAAGCACCTTGCAAAACAGGGAAAGAATTTTGGGTGTTTTTCCATTAAAGGTACATCACTTCGTAATATTTTTGTTGTAGCATAGTTCATTGGTGCTCAGTTGTCAGCTAGCTTTTTTCCTAATGATAATTGTCATTATGATCGTCACTTTTGAAGCCACGTATTTCATGTACTCTTTTTTTTTTTTTTTTTGTGTATGTGTGTGTGTGTGCTGCGGATTGAGGGACTTAAGGTTTGCCTAGAATTTAAATAGCAGCTATTCTGTTTCTTGTAAAAAAGAGATGTTCTTTCCAAAGCAAGATAGTGTTTGAGTAACCGGAAATCAAAATGTGACATGAAGCTAAAAGTGGCTGCGCAGCCGTCCTTTCTGATGGGGCAAAAAAAGAGGTTCGAATTCAAAACCATTGTTGGATCAGGCATTCGTTTCTTACTGCTTATTCATTTGCTTAGGATGTCAGAAATTACTGTATGTTGAGTTTTACAAATGAATGCTTTCTTCAAGTGAAACTTCATTGTAACACTGTGGTTTATCAGAATAATTACATGACCGAAGTATGTACAAATTCTTTATCACATCCTTACAATTAATGAATGCTACAGAACTATGGTAATTGATTAAAACTTATTCACATAAATGGGGCCTCACCAGTGGTTAAGTAATTAAAAGACTTTTGAATGCTGGTGGTTCTGGTTTGGAACCCAGGTAAGCAGACTAACTGTATCTTTGGTTTACATAGTTTTCCCAATTTTAAACATGGATATGATCCAGTTTCCATTAGAAAGTCTTCCACGAAGGCATTCCTCCTCTTAGATAAGCCTTGTAGATAAACTTTGCCATAATCAGCTAAGTTATTCGCATAAAAAGAGGAACATAATCTACAATTTCCGTTCACAACAGGTTTTGGAAGATTTTGTCGTGAAATTGGAGAATGTTTTGTTGTTCTTCTCAAACACTGTTTTTAGTCATTCATTGAGCCATGAGGAAAGAAGCCTAAATGTGTCAATATGGTGCTGAAAAAGCACATGGTTTTCTTTAATGGAAAAGTACTGAATTCTTAAATTTTTGCAAAGTGCGATAAGTAAATTTTAAATATTCATTTTACCTGAGACTGCAGTGCAGCTGAATATTAGAAAATCCTAGATAGTTGGGTAAAATTTTTCTTTTGGACATAATTTTTTTTTTTTTTTTTTTTTTTTTTTCCCAGCTTTGGAAAGGAGCAGTGACCCCCAAAAAGGTTAAGAAACTATGATTGAAAAAGTACAAATGATCCAGAGATATTGAATCTGTGCTAAATTTTATGTAGAGATTAGAAAGTTTATCTCACCTATAGTACAGGGTGCGGCAGTGAAACGGTTGATTTTGAAACCTCTATCAGCGATACAAATTTATTCGCAGCGATATAAAAGAAATATAACATGAATTTACAATGCTTGCAATTTATGAGGAATGTTTCTGAACAACTTGCACATATTGCACAGAACAAATGCATAAAAATGTACAAAATGTCTATTACTTGTAGATAGGATTGGACAGACTCGTTTGGCTTCATATTTATGTTAAAGAATTCTCTCATAAGTTGCAGTAAGCAAACCAAATTTTGTGTGCATTTCTTTTAAATAGTTCCAGGCGTCTCTGGCTCTAACACAATCTTCGATATCATCTAGAAATGTATCTTCAACTATGAGGAATAATAAGATAAAAGCTTCGTCATTCTTTTTCCTCTCTGCTTCATTCATTTCAATTCCATATCCTGGTTCCACTGCTTCCCAACATCTCTTCTGCATCAGCACGGCACGCGAACAGATACACCATGTGTGATAATTGTCGCCGTTTAGTTTTTTGCCATTTTATAATCTTCAGATGTCATTCTTCAAGTAAATATATCGAGCTAAATTCACTATAAAAAAAATTATTTACTTCATCAAATGGATAATGTAGCAGCACAATGGTTAACCCATGGAGGTAGGGAAGTAAGATGGAGTCGCTTTAAACAAGTTTCTCCCGTACCTGCTCTGAAGCACAGGCGATCCCTACGTGGTGACCAAAACATTGGGTCATTTACCATTGAGTTCAATGGGATTTGACACGATCGGATGTAAATATTTTGTAATTACGTCATAAATATACATATAAATGTATATATTTTCTTTTTCTACAACACATCAGAGTCCTAAATATGTGAAAATAACATATTTTTAAACAACATTTCATTCTGAACGAAATTAAATGCTATACTTTTCACAGGACAGTTTTTTCAGAATGGTTTAATTTGAATGAAATATTTTCACAAGTTTTCATTAATTACATTAGAAAAAAAATTAAGGTAATTCGATTTTACTCGGTTAAGGTAAAAATTAAGGTCAAAGTTTATTGTATTATTAATATTAAAATTATGCATTATTTCTTTTCTATTTATAGAGCTTCTTCCTAAAATACTTTCTTAAATATGACATGATTTTTTGGCTTCTGAGGCATCTTTTAAATCAAAAAATGTAAGTCAATTTATAATTAATGCTCTATTCGGTTTATTTTTAAATTAGAGAATTATTAGGAATTAGTGAAATACTTTAAATAGTACTTGAATTTCTCTGAACATTTCTGAAAGGGAATAAAATAAGCTTTTTTTTTTTTTTTTTTTTTTTTTTTTTTTTTTTTTTTTTAAGTATTATTTAAAACTTGTAACTGAGTTATTATAAAATGTAAGGGGAATAATTCTTTTAATTTTACTTATCAGATTCTTTTTTTTACTCTTAATTTCAACAATACATATTCCAAAACTCTTTATTACTTTCTTAAGTGCGCATCTCATAGCATTTGCTTTACAATACCTTTTAACAGATTGCTTTCCAATACGAACAATTCTTGCTTAAATAGTTTTTATAATGTATTTGTCAATAGGATTTCAGTTTATGTTTACAATTCAATATTAAGGTTATTATATATTAGATAACATTTATAATCATTATAAATTAGATACATTTAATAATTAGATTCTTCACAGTACTTTCACAGTTGTTTTATAAGTGAATAAATTCTTCATTTCAAATACATTTATAAATAATTTAATGAATATTTAAGTATTTTGTCAAAGGCAGATACATGCTTTTTGCAGGCACATGCATAAATACCCATACATATTTCCTATTTTTCATTTCTGGCATCTTTAATTTCTGTGCATTCACTATATTTTTCGTGTAAAGTAATTTACACTAATTTAGCATACACCCAAAAGTTGTAAAAAAGTTATTTGTTATAAAACAAATTCATAATCAAAATCGCTGTTGTTAGTTATCGAAAAATAACCAAGATGTGATTTTTGCGTAAATGTCACTAAAGTATACAAATTGCTGTTATCCATCGTTTCTTTCATGCAAAAGTGTCCCTTTTTCGATTTCTTTGGAACTGTTGTGTGTCGAAATACTATCAGAATCTTGTCAAGCGAGCTTCTGAATGTAAACAAAGAACACCCCATCTGGTGACCCAAGCTTCAAAGCAGTGCTTCACTTTTAGCGCGGGTTGGCCCCTCCTCCCTTTCCTACCTCCATGGGTTAACCAGCTCACTTCAGATTCACAACGTGGTTAAGCTTCGGTGCAATCTACAATCCTGGATCCTTATGGCATTTACTTTTGAGCTTCGTGCTGATAACGTGTTAAGGCCCATCCATCCACATGAGTACGCTCGAAACGTAGCTGACGAACATGCTTTTACGTTACCAGCGTAAAGCGTCCAAACGAGTACGCTTCCGAAGAGTGCGTTTAACCAATAGAATTATTTTGCGCAAACATAACGTGACGCTGTAATATAGCGTCAAGAGTGTATCTTATTACTTCGTTGTGCTTCTGTATGTTTGCGGCAAGTTGTCCGAATCAGATGATTTTTTTTTTTATAGCTGAAACTTTACTATTAAGTGCAATTATTAAGCAGAGGCAAAACCGCAAAAAATGGCAAGAATGGGTCTGAAAGATTTATTTAGAGCGACCTGTTCAAAGAGATGATGATGATTATTATTATTTTTACTGCTTCGTTAGTGAAATGAATATCCAGAATTATTAGATTCCTACTATTAGCTCACACTCTCGCTATATCTTGTTCAAATTTTCAGTACATAAAATGCTTTTTATTCATCCACTCAAGTTCAAATACAATTTTTTAAACTTGTAGGGAAAGACACTTGATGTTAATACAGCTTTTTCACATATTAAAAATTTTCAATTTAAAAAAATTCTGTTTTTATTTTTATTTATTTATTTATTTATTTGTATTTTTTTAAATTTTTCTTTGTGTACCTAAGTAGAAATTGACTTAATTTTTTTGTATATTACTTGTTTTTAATTACTTCAGGATGAGTATCGACCAGTTTGGACAGACTTGCAGATTCTATATCATATGAAAATTAGGATTTATAAAATTTGTTTGGAATACAATATATAAAGAGAATTAAATTACTTAATTCTCTTTATATACACCATCCACCATATAATAAAACCAACTTCATATTTTTTTAACTCCCCCTCCCTTGGTCTTTTGTTTTTCTTTTTATTTATTTTTGAATTTAGAATGAGGTTCAAACTTTGTACAGTTTATGAGAAATTATGTGCATTATAAAATATGCAATAAAGTAAAAAATAAAGAGAGAATTTATAGATGATATATGATAAAGAGATGCAGATATATTATTACATAAGGATTTCTATTTGCAATGCATGTTTTTAAACTAAATTAAAAACAATAATAATAATGAATAAAATAAGAAATGAAAACAATAATCATATGATGAAAATAAGAATATAATGATTCATGATTAAATATAAGAAACACGTTTCAAAATGAGAAAAGCTAACTTGAACGATATACTGTCTACGGGTGAGGTTTTCGAACTTTGCCAACCTTTCCATTTGCAAAGCAGCACGCTGACCACTCAGCTATCTATTATAGCAAGTGTTTGTGAAAAATAATGTAACAAGTAGAAGTTGCTGCAAAGATAATTAAACTTGCTGCAACTTAGGTAATTCAATAAATGATTGCTGTATGACACAAGTTGTAACTTTCCTTTCAAAATTTCGTAATTGTATTTTATTGAATACTCTTTCACAGTCAACTGCTTTATTTTAGAAGTTGTTATATTGCTGAAGTTAGTTTTTGGTGTATTTAATATTGGGATATTTATAGAGCTTTTTATTACACATGATGTAGCCAATATTTTTAATAATTAAGGAGAAATTTGTAAGGCAGAAACTTTGATTTTGTAGAAACTGTAATTTATTTAGGTTCCTATTACTTACGGTGTTATAAATAGGCGAAGCATATGGATATACTGGTTGGATCATTGCTTTATAAATATACAGTTTTCCCCTTTAATAAGAATTTTAAATTTATACCAATATTGAGAAATCTGAAGATGGCGTGAACAATGCTGATAATTTTATTGCTGTATACAGTTATGATATTTCTAAGCAAAAACTCATCTCTGTGTGGTTCTGATGCCATATTGAAATGTGTGAGCAAGAAGGTTTTCTGATTATGACACGTGATAAGAACTCGAATGGCTATTGGCTATACGTACGTGTCGCGAGCGAAAAAGCTGAACAGGAGCGTACTCAGTTTTACGTCTTCTGCGTCACACGAATTTACGCCCGCGTCAAAAAAGTTGCGTCAACTACGTCGCGAGCGTCCTCGTGTGGACGGGCCTTTAGAATTTAAATTATTTGTGAGCAAAGAAATGACATAGTCCAGGTCGAATAGTCGAATATATTGGGAATATTTTGGTTACATGAAAACAAGCAACCACAGCAATGCACACCAGATAAGGACAACGCGACAACAACACTACTGTTGCCAATTAACATTAAGTAAATATTGTGATTGGCACCCATATCTTAATTTTTTAACAGAATCAACAGATAAAGAGAGAAACAAAATTATGATAAACACATCTTACCTAATAAAACTATTTTAAATTTAATATGTAGGCAAGTCCAAAAAGAGTGAGATAGAATTTATTTTGCAACACAAAATAAAGTTGTCATCCAGGAGGAAAAAAACTTGACTCATGAGATTGGCAAGTAAAAAATAATTAACTGCATCTGGTAACATTTGTCTGACAACACATAAGTAATTGTTAGCTATGTGCAGAAAATTAAATCTGATCATGATGAGCAATATGCAATTTTAAACTTTTGAATTTAACTGCAGAAATCTACCAAAGAAGTATATTTTATGTTGTAACAGTAGTAAATGAAGATGTGGCTAATCTTTACTGTATGGTATACCTTGGTTTCTGTCTGAAAAAAATCGCAAAGTGGTATTGGTTGTTCGTGAAATCTGGAAGCCCACTGCATCAAATAACTTTTTCGGTAACCCTAATGTTGATAATGTTGGCGAAAGTAGCCTTTGGGGAACAAAAATTAAATTTTTGTCACTAAAAAGGGTTTATTTCTGCAAATATTGCCAACGTGCTGTGATAAATTTAGTTTTGGGCTATTTTTTGTAATAGTAACCCTTTTGTACAGACCCGGGTTTTTGGTTCTTACCATTCTTTTCAATTGCTGTGTTTGGTTGCACGTAAGTGGTATGGTCTTGTATTTTGAACTTGCTATTATTTTGGTGTGGGTACCATCGTTTGAGTATGTCTGAGGTGACTAAGAGACGAAAAATTTAATTGAATTGCTTACCTGGAGGATGGAGGAAATGGTGGTGGAAAGCCTAAACGTATGCATGTGAAAAAAAAAGGTATGTTAAAAAAATGACGTTTCATTTATTTATTCGTCTCTGTGTGTTAATTTTTGTTAAAAGATTTGTTGTTTAATATTTTTATGTTAGGAAAATATGTATTTTTGGTAACTTATTCCTCTCTGTTTGTGTATTTTTGGTTGTCTCTGTGTGTTAAGACAGTGGCGAATTTTTTAAACATGATATTTTTAACTTTCTGATTTTCTTAAAGTGAAAATAGATCAATGTGTACATGTGACAAAGTTAAGGCAGTGCACAATGTCCTAGTTTGTGCAGTTCTCTGTTTTTTTTTTTTAAGTTAAAATAGGTCGATGTGTACATGGACACCAAGTTTGTGTATGTCTTTGACTTCTTATTTTGGTTTTGTGTAACGGCAATCTTGAAATTGGTGCCGATCCTTCCCAGGTGACGATCTTGATATAATGAAAAGAAACGATTCGCCAAGGGTTACAGTAGAGTAAATTTTTACCAAAGATGTTCTACCATAATCACCATTTCAGTGGTTTAAACACTAGTGGAACAGTATGCAGAGATGAAGATTTGAGTTTTGTTTACACAGCATGATGGTTTAGGCACTCCAGCCATTACGGTGAACAAGATTATAATAAACATAGCCACAACAATTGTCTATAAATATTGATGTATAACACTGCATGAACTAATATATTTCTTATGCTAGTATATACAGAATCCTTAATCGAAGTTGAAAATGAGAAGACTGTGCATGCATTTCCTTTAATTGAAACATGGATTTGACCATACAAATCTCAGTCTTACGGGACATGCCACACTATGCAGATAGACAGTAAAAGTGCTCGTGTTGTTTTTATTTCTTAGAGCTATGAAATAAATATATTTCTACATTTTAATTTTTTCTTTTTTTCTTTCACATTTGGATTACCTATCAAAAAGTAAGGAATTTTGATATTATTACAATATCTGAGTTAAAATAACATTCTAAATAACAATTATTGGACATGTTAAGGTAATGAAAAATTTAAATTAGGTTAAAAAGTAACCCTTAATGTGGCATATTTTTGAATTAAACCCTATCGACTTTGAAAACAACAAAAAGTCCATCTTTATTAAGGAATTTAACTAATTTTAAATACAGGACTATGTATGAATTTTTTCCTTTGCATGTTATAATAACTGAAACAAAACTACACTGATACAGTCAAAATTCCTAAATGCAAGTACATAAAATTTACTTTAGCAATTTTAAGAAATGAGACACACTGAACACATGAATAAATTTTAAGAAATGAGACACACTGAACACATGAATAAATTTCTATCAAAGAATAATTTATTAAATTTGGTCCGTTCCATAGTATGTGTTTTGAGGTCGCTGGTTAGACTGTATACTATAGACAACTTTACAACAACAACAACAACCAATTTTATTTCGTGGACTGTAATAAAAGTAAAAATCTAAATCGAAAATGATAAATTCCCGACCATACTGGATCAAAACATGTACGCTACACTAGGAGTTTGAATCTTAACTAACTGAAATTGTGCAGAAACAATGCACTGTACATAACTTATATTGCTGCGTAGGAGGCAATATACTGCCCCACGTTGCAATATCTATGATATGCAAACTAAATCTAAGCTAACAATTCAAATATCAAATGCTAACAATTCAGCTATTCATTTTTTAAGCAATAATAAAGACTTAAAGTTACTAAATCATTTACAGAATGAAATAGTTCAGAAAATTCGATATAGTTTGAATATTTGCAAATATTTTTTTCAATAATTATGGTAAGTACTTCTTATTCTGCTTGCAAATAGATATATTTTTGCTTTTGTTTGCTTGCAGATATACTTTGGATGCCAACATGAATTTTTTAAAGAAGACTCCCACTATTTACCTCAATCAGGAGTATCTCCTGGAAAACTAATGAGACATTTCTCAAATTTTGTTTCTCTGCATTGAATGGTAAACTTAGTATTGGAAATATGTCGCACAAAACAGTTTGAGAGAAATAGTTTGAGATAATGATTCAATAAATGTGTAACTGTTTTTGTCCACTATATATATATGTAACAGGCCCACCAGCGGCCGAGCGGTAAAGACGCTGAACACTGGTAGTTCGGTCCGAGGTTCGAATCCCGCGAACGGGCTGGCTGCATGGGCGTTTTCGTGGTTTTCCCCATGTGTACGTGTATATGAGCCAGTTTCCCTTAGAAAGTCCTCCACGAAAGGCATCCCTCCCCTTAGGCAGATAGCCCTAGTGTGCTTTGCCATAATTAAATACACCTATATATGTAACAATAAATTAATGCTGTGTGTTAGTATTGCTGTAATGTGCTGTTAAGCTCCATGAATTCAGTTTAAATATGAAACATTTTGCGTTTAAAAAAATAAAGGCAAATAATATATTTTAATTCAAAATTCATAAAAATGGATCATTTAAAAATTGTAGCAATGTGTTTTCTAATTATTTGTAGTTTCATTTTTGTTGTGTTTATTTTTTTATTTATTTATTATCTTTCTAATTTTGAGAGGCAATACCATTTACTATTTGTAATTTAGTAAAAAGAAAAATAGTTTTCAACAAGACTACTGACAGTAAATTGAGTTTAAATTCTGGCTGGGTGTTACAACAAGGACCTTAACCTCTGCATGGAAGAAGCTGTGGCCTGAGGCTGTAGCTGAAAGGGCCTATGAAGGATTGGAACCCGAAGTGTCAGTGGTGGAGGAGATTGTTTCTCTGGGAAAATCTATGGGTCTTGAGGTGGATGAGAGAGATGTGAACAAACTTGTCGAGGAACAGTCTCAGGAGCTGAGAACCGAGGAGTTACATGATCTACATTCGCAGCAGCCTACGGTGGTTCAATGAAAAATTATTTTTGAAGAGGAGCCAGAGATGGAGGAGGTTATCCCTACAAGAGATATAAAGGAGATCTTGGGAATGTGGGAGAAAGTTGCAGATTTCGTGGATAAAATCACCGCGAAAAAGTTGCAACTGGTTGTGCATCGGAGTTGTTCAACGAAACTTGCCTAGCTCATTTCCGCAATATCCTGCAAGGGAGGAAGAAACAAACCTCCTTGGACAGTTTTTTTAAACGATCTGCAGGTGAAAATGAGCAAAGCGTGACGAAAAAGTGAAGACCAGTATTGAAAATGAAGCACTTCACTTTTTCTTTTAATTATGTTTTTATAGAATATGTATTTCTTATCTATAAATAAAATGTTTTTTCTTGTGAATACATTTTTCTTATTCAAAAACACTTAAACAACTGAGGTGGTGCTTTGGGATCTGGAACGGATTAATGGCATTTCAATTAATTTCAATGGGGAAAATTGCTTTGAGATACAAGCAATTTGACATACGAGCAAAATTACGGAACGAATTAAACTCATATGTCAAGGTACCACTGTATTTAATAAACTAGTAAAACAGACTTGAATTTTTAGTTTCATTAGGTTAGGTTATTTAATTACGGCAAAGCCTCGAGGGCTATCTGCCTAAGGGGAGGGATGTATATGTTACAAAAAGGGTCAGTCCTCGCTCCCAACAGCATTTTCTATCATGGATTGCTGAGAGGGTGGCTTGTTAAATGAACCACGGAATTTCCAGGGCAAAGGCTTGGTCAAGTCTGTCCTATAGCCACCAAGATCACCGGATCTCTCAGGTTTCGGATATTTTTCTATAAGGCCACATAAAAAGCCTTTTTCCTGAAAGCCCTACAAGTGTCCCTTTGAAATCAATATGGATCAAGTTGCCAAGATTGCTGTTGTTGTTGGCAATACTCGGGAAATGCCTGGTATTTTTGCAAATGTGCATCAACCATATATTCTGTGAGGAATATTGTTCGTATAGCTTCATTCTATAACCCCGGAAAGTTTTGACGGGTGCTTTCTCAGATTTGCTGTGTATATCGTATGTGCACTTTTACATCAATTATGCCAAAGCTATTGAAGAAGGAGAGGTAAGCAGTAATATGCTAGGACAGCAGGGAAAAAGCAGGATCGCAACATGTCTAAGAACAGTTCAGGATCATTTAATTTTCTTTTACATTTTTCCAGTTTATTAAATGTATCAGTTCCCCAAATTAAACTTACGGGCTAAAGAACCTTGGAGGGTATGGTTTTTACATGTGAGGGTACAGTACTTATATCCCAGGTTGCCACGCTACCTGGAAAACCGGGAGAAGGCAGAGAATTTAAATATTTTCATCAAAATTTGGAAAAGTTGAGAAATTCATACAACGATCCTCAAAAAAGTGATTTTCCCGCCAACATTGGAAGGAATAAATTTCTTGTAAAATTCTATGTTGCGTTAGCATCGTTCATGCAGCTGGCATAGAACCAATCAGATTGTCTTTTAGAAGGGCTCAACAATTTTCCAGTATCTTTGGTTTATAGTAACTGATAATCCAGAGGCACATGTGCAATGCATGAATAAAAGAAAATCCCCCCCAATCTAGTATTAAACAAAATCTTTTAAACCTTTATTTTCTTTTTTATAAATTCCTTATTTGTCATCTTGCAGTAAAATAAAAATCATTTAGTATATCTATATTTGCCAAAGTACCATTGATTAGTTTCAATTATTTAGTTTTTAATCTTTAAGTAATTAACTTTAATGTATTCGTATCATTTAATGTTGCGTCTTCCTTCTAAATTTATTTATTAGATAATAATACTTTCAAATTTCAGGTAGTTTTCTCTGGCATACTCGTGAAAATAATTCTAACAGTTTGATGACATTCCATCATGAAACTTAAAGCACATATTTTTTACTTGTGTGTTCTGTTCAATAAATATAAAATACCTGAATTTATGTGAAAATATCATTAAATGGATTTCTTTGTTTCCTTTAGTTGCAAAGTGTCTGCAGAAAAAACATTTTCTAATCCAGATTGGGAAGATTCTAATCTAAGGCCTTAGTGGGGGAAAACAACTTCTGTTATTGTGATGACAGTAATGCTTTGGGTATATGCAAGTCATTGTTACCAGAATGAGTATAGCTATGAAGTCTCCACTGTATCAGAATGGGCAGCAAAGTTGATCTGGTCGGAAGAGTAAAATGGGGAAAGAAATCTTTATTTTTTTATCTGTTTTTTTGTGCGAAAAGATGGATATAATGTGTGTTTTATGTGGTGTAACAGTCTAAGGAAAATGCAGTATCACAGTTGATCATGATTCAGTTACATAATACTGATAGTCTCTTCAAGGATTAGAATCTCAATATAATAATTGTAGATTAAATACATATCACACTTACGGGTAGAAGTAGTGAAGAATGATGTATAAACAAATTACTGAAATTTCCCTTTGAGAATTGTAAAAAATTGCCATTTGCTTTTTTATAAAAATAAATAAGAAATTAACAAGCGATCTTTAAGCTTAGTAAGGCATGGAAGCCAATAAATTAATAAAATTACTTCTATTAGTTTAAGCACTGTAGTTTGCATCACTGTGTAAGCAATTTATAAGGGATTACAAATGACATCTTGATAATTTAAGAATACTTATTGAATGTGTTGAGAAGGGATAGATTACCAATCCTTTTCCTTAGAATTTTATAATGTACTTTCTTTTAAAACAAAACTAATTCCAAACATAAACAGTGATGCCAGTCTCATCAAGAAAATTTTGTTACACTTGTTGCTAGATTTGCTTTCTGGCTACCTAAAGGTGCAGTGGGATGGGATTGGACACTGTTTGAAGATTCTGCCCCTGACGAACTGTGGCAAATGGTTGAAAGGGAATGGAGAGCCATCCCTCAGGGTACCATCCACACTCTTATTGACTCTATGCCTAGACGTATTTCTTCGTGCATTGCTCTCCGCGGTGGTCCTACATACTGCTGATCCGATGATGTTCTCGCTCTGTATTCTGACTAATCATTTTGAAATTAAGATCACTTATTGCTGCTTGCTGCTTACATGACCTCGTTCAAACTCGGTGAGCTGTTGATAATGGCTTCTTCGTCTTCTTAAAGGCATTCTTGGCCAACATCAACTCAATACATCAAATTTCAAAAATAAATAATGCTCACAAACTTTACAGCACACATTTAAAGCAAAGCTGATTTGTAAGTTCTGAGTGGCACTACTAATGCCACACTTATGTGCAAAGCACAAAATTTGAATCTATGTCATTTTTCAGATGTATAAATACGCTTACCAGATTTTGTTTATCTAGCACAATTCTTTTTTTGGTTTTGGGATTTTTTTTTTTTTCGTCAGTGTAGATTGTTATAGAAATCGACAAGGTCTTATGCCAATTTAGTTTTTTTGGTCCAATTTTCAGCTGCTTATGGGCGTATTAAAAGAGCTTTTCCACCCAAACGTTAACTACTTTAAAATATTGAAAATGGCACTCGATTTGATGTTTACATTTTTTCCCTAAGATTCATTGGTTTTAGTGCTTGGCCACTGGGGAGGGGGTGCATACAATTTAAAAACTGGTTTAGAAACCTTTCATCTTGATTTAGTGTGTCGGGTGCCATGGTTTGAGGGTTAGAATTATTTGAATGCAGCAAAGCACATGAGGACTATCTGCCTTTAAGGAGAGAGATGCCATCGTAGAGGACTGTTTAACAAGAAATGGCTCATATTCATGTTACACATGCTGAAAACCATGGTAAAATACCATGCAGCCATCGCATTTATTGGTGTGGGTTTGCATCTAAAACGAACTACCAGTATGTAGTGGTTTTATTGCCCACTGATATGGTCGTAATATAATAGGGGAAATAACTATTACCAGAGTGTATGGCATCTAAATTAAGAAACAAGAAAAATCACCTCTGAGGTAATCTTAAACGCGAGTTTTTTTAATGCTAATGATTAATATAATTACAAAAGAGTTCACGTCATTTGTGTCATTTTCAGATTGCTAAAATTAGTGCGGTTTTAATAAACGGTTATGTAGATCTACTACAGGAAAAAATGCATGGAAATTTTCCCTTAAAATAACAGGAATTATTGAAAAAAAACTTCTGTAATTTATAAACGAGGAAACGTATTTCAAAGCTGCTTCAAGAGAAGCGGCTCATATTTCAACCTGCCACCAAATAGGTGACTGCAGTTGTTGTGCTGCTAACTAAAACTCTCGCCCCTCCTCCTCCCCAATTCAGTGACCTGAAACTAAAGGAGTTAATTAATTACATTCATTTATATCTGAAGGAACAGTGTATCTTTACATTTTTTGAAAAAAAATTTTCTCTCTCAAAAAAATTTTAGTTGTAACTTCTGCGTATTTGTTTGAAATATCCTATGAAAAAAGTTCAAAATCAGAGGGAATACATTTCTACAGATTTCCTATAGAAGAGCAAAGGTTAGCACTTGATTATTTTATACTTTTGTTATTTGTAAGCGAATTAGAAATGTGATTATTGTATATTTAAACGTGATATGGCATGCATGATATGGCTTTTATATCACTGTGTGTCCATTAAAGCTATTGATTTACCATACACTGCAGAAAAATTCATATTATTTACAATAAGCATTTTATCAGCAGTATTTAATCTTACAGAGGTGACTTGCGTTAAAAATAAGGATTCCAGTTTTTTTTTTTTTTTTTTTTTTTCATTTAATTTATATAGTAATTTTTGTAATGAAAAATGTACTGGGTATAAAAATGGTTTTGAATACTGAACCATGTAACAATTTAATGCTAATTTTCCAGCTTTTATTAATTTATTTGCTATAAAAAATTAATGCCATTCTCTAAGCTCATTTTGGGTAGTAGATCCTAGAATTACTGACAGAAAAACATAATAATGCTTGCATCAGAGTGATACGAGAAGAAAATATTAGGTATAAATATAGCAAAAGAAATTGTCAAACATATGTATTTTGATGGAAGTGATGAGTATAAATCTCTGATGAGTGATCATCATTTTAATAGTAGTATGTCATTGCCTCATTCAACTCCTGAAATCCGTGTTGCCTCTCAGAATATAAACATTCAGTTTATAGGTTCCGGAAACCGCAACATTGAGTACGAAATATCGAAGAAAAAATACTTACCAAATAATAACGTCATAATTACCGCATAATAATGAGTCAATAACGAAAATACCAAATTATTGATATAAAAAAGTTTTAAAAAATAATATAAAATAAATAAGTTTTTTTCTCCTCTAATTCTGCATTGAGGTAAAAAAGCAGACGATTCACTCAACTCTTTGTTCAACTTCACGATTCACGTTGTACTATTTTCTGAGCTTTCTTATTTCATTTCACGAG